AAAAAAATGAGGATAAAACTTGATACACTTAACCTGCCGTACTAAATCTAAAAACTGCGTGATAAACAACATCTACGGCAAGGATGGCCCCTCATAGAAATTATCAGATAAAGTTATTTTAAGTCGGAATTTCATAATTCAAAGAGAGTGTTCAAAAGCCATTTGATGAAAGCTGAACAGACGGTAGGAGGCCGGCATTTTGAAAATAGGTGGGGTTGAAGTGAGGGTCAGGGAGCGGAGCCAGCAAGAGCCAAAAGCTTTTTCTTGAATTCTCGCGGTCAAAATTTTGAAGCCAAATACTTGATAAACAATTAGTAAAAATGCAGGAAGTTGACGTTGACAACACTGGCATTGACCTTAGAGCAATATTGAAATGATGACAATAATGCCCGGTACGCATTCAGGATAAGCACTCACTTCATCGACTGAAAGCTGACGAAGCTTATATGATCGGCAAAGGACTCCCTCCTGTAGCCGCCTATCTCGCCATCGATCAGATTATTGACATTGCTCTCAAAGTTAGTTTTATCTGCCTGTATCTGCTTTTATAGCCACTTGGAGATATTTAAATAAAAAACTTCATGTTTCAGCACAATGTTGACGCTATCCATCCTGGTTATGGTTTCCTTTCGGAACGATCGGATTTTGCCAAAGCTTGCTTTGATGCTGGTATCACATTTATTGGTCCTAGCGCGGAAGTTATGGCACGAATGGGAGACAAGGCTTGTTTTAGGCATATTTGATCATGATTATTTGACCACCTATTCACCTTTGACTATTTTGACTTATTCAGGTTGCCGCTAGAGAAGCCGCGATAGAGGCTGGAGTTCAAGTTGTGCCTGGAACGCCTGGTCCTATTACCAAAGCAGATGATGCTCTCGCATTTGCTAAGCAATATGGAACTCCTATCATACTCAAAGCTGCCTACGGAGGTGGGGGACGCGGAATGCGACGAGTCGACAATATTGATACCGTGAGTTGATTTTCAAAGAGGTTGATGTCATGCTGTGCACAGAAAATGAGTTTCACATTTTTCTAGGTAAAGTAAAAAGAATGCAACTTAAGCCACAGTTTTTAGCTTAAAGACAACTTCCAACGAGCATTCTCTGAAGCGCAAGCTGCCTTCGGCGACGGTTCATTATTTGTGGAAAAATTCATAGAGAGACCAAGACATATTGAGGTGCAGCTTCTCGGTGGGTACAGCGAATTGATAAATGCATAGATATGACATAATAGGGATGTCGTATGCGAGCTAAGTCCTTCGTAACACCGTTTGAGTGATCCAAAATCAGCAAACTTCAAGAGCGATGAGCCTTTTCATGAACATAGTAAATATATTCCATGTAATGTTTCATTTTCTTAGGCGATAACCATGGAAATCTTATCCACCTTTGCGAACGTGACTGCTCCGTGCAACGTCGTCATCAGAAAGTAACAAGGACTACTCGTCTCTGTCAAGTTTTCTTATCATTTGCTCAATTTAGGTTGTCGAAATCGCTCCTGCCCCAGCTTTGGATCCGAATATTAGGCGGAAAATCCTTGACGATGCTGTGCGTCTTGCAAAGTATGTTGGATATCAGAACGCAGGTCGGTAAAGTTGGATGGTAATGTTCATAAGAAACTGCAATTGTGGCTAACTCTGGGACGAAAAAGATCGGTCTCTCTGAATCTCATAGTTTTCTTCAATTAAACCTACTTTCAGGTACCTGCGAGTTCTTGGTGGATAAGAAAGGCGACTATTTCTTCATCGAAGTGAATGCACGTCTTCAAGTAGAGCACACTGTTTCTGAAGAAATCACGGGGTATGCGGTCAATGCTATCCAATTTGAGGGTGGTCTAAATTGACTCTTAAATTGCTGTTAGAGTAACAAAAAGTACACTGCGAAAAACTTAAACTTAAAATTAAGAGAACTTGAACTCATTGCCTATTTTCCAATGACTAAGAATTAGCAGCGCCCAGACAGTTTATAGAAAGTAAAGAAGTATAATAAATATATAGTTTTCGCAGTAGCCAAATAGAGCAGATGTTTGAGTTCAATAATGCAAACAATCAACAAACGCTATTTCCAGAGTTGATCTGGTACAAGCTCAGCTGCGAATTGCAGAAGGTAAATCACTAGCGGATTTGAAGCTGAGTCAGGATAGTATCGTGCCACATGGCGCTGCCATTCAGTGTCGAGTAACCACAGAAGATCCGGCACGCAACTTCCAACCTGATTCTGGCAGAATTGAGGTTAGTAGAGAAATTTTTGATTATCTGGCATATGAAGTGTATATGTTGAATGCAGGTATTCCGTTCTGGTGAAGGTATGGGTATTCGTCTGGATTCGGCATCAGCATTTGCTGGTTCAGTGATCTCCCCCTTCTATGACTCGCTTCTTGTCAAGGTGAAATGTGGCACTATTGCTGCCGTTGAAGAAAATTAGCGATTTCCACGATATTGTGCCATTCTTGTTAGGTAATTGCATCGGCTCGTAATCACCCCAATGCCTGCGCAAAAATGATCCGTGCTCTGAAAGAGTTCAGAATTCGAGGAGTCAAGGTAGAAAAACTCCTTACTTCGAATGACTAATTATTCTCAAGAATATCTTGCAGACCAACATTCCCTTCCTGCTCAATGTACTTTCTCAAAAACAATTCCACGATGCTGCTGTTGACACGTACTTCATTGATGAACACCCGGAACTATTCGAATTCAGACCGAGTCAGAATCGAGCGCAAAAGCTGCTTAACTACTTAGGAGAAGTGCAAGTGAGCAGCTAACCTTAGAACATTGTACAGTGATGAAAGCTATGGTCTGATCTCACGCAGGTCAATGGACCAACCACACCTCTTGCCACCGATCTAAAGCCGGCTTACGTTGATCCGCCAGTCCCAGCTTATCGTCCAGGTTAGTCGAATTATTCTATCGATAATTATATTCAATAATCAACCAAATGAAACTTCGAACATGATGCAGCGCGATTGCTGACTCAAATGGGGCACATCGAGGTCACAATTGTTGCGGCGGAAGTCCTTAACGTCACGACTTAATGGCGTCGATGGCCTCGTCGCCGCAGGGCTCATAGTTGTGAGGCTAGCTCAATTAAGAAGTCGATTATCGCTTACTTTTAACTCAATTCTAAATTTTAATGTCATTATCTACCCTTATGTGTAAGTATTGCTGGCGTAGATCACTTTCTTAAATTTAAAATTCTCTTTAAGAACTTTGATGATTTGCAAGTTAGCAGTCAAATTATAGTCTCATGATTGAATGCAAATTTGGCATATGCAGAGATTTCATGTTCGCGCATTCTCTGCATAGTGCTTAGCATTGCGAACTTCCTTAGTGTATCCCGCTATCTCACAAGTCTTAGAATGATCTCTTGCAGGATACGTGAAGACTCGAGAAGAAATAAGTAGGCTGAGTTTATTTTATTGCTTTTGTTAATTAGAGAATATGACTGTTGCATGGGTGCTTGCTGTCAACTTTATTTGTTTGAAGTCCTGTTGTGTAAAAGTAAGGAAAATTTTCTCACACTATGTTTGTTTGTTTTGCATTATTAAGAGCAATATCTAAGGAGCGTGATGATGTCGTGCGCTGCGACTGCTTTCGATGTTTCTGTCCTGCTGAAGTTGATTGCAGTTACAGTTATCCATTCAGATGAACCTCCACCAAAAGGCCTTCGAGATGTCCTCGTCAAGGAAGGCCCAGAGGCGTTTGCCCGAGCAGTTCGCCGTCGTCCCGGCTGCATGATCACTGATACTACTTTCCGGTTGGTATCATTTCTTAATCTTATCTAGGCCATGCTAAATGCGATTTAAGGGGAATCACGATCGAGAGAAGGAGGACATATAGATGGAA